AATAACTGAAAATAAATAATTCCGAAAAATAATATCGGAACTGAAATATTATTATACTGATAAAAAGTCGGGATATTACAGATTATGGACCATAGGATACATCATATCAATGAACATGATGAACTCAAAATTAATTAATAATAGTCAAACCTGCATGGCAATATTGTAAATATGTGATACACTATGGTCAAATAAATACACCAAAGGACAATGATGTAATTTCCCAAACCCACCAACTAAGTGGGCCCCACTCATAATTATTCTCAATTTACCAGCCCCCCGCTGTCCCAACTCTCACTGTATCTCTATCTCTCTCTCTCTCAACTCTATCTCACACACTAATTGCACACACAAAGCTCGGTCGATCCTTCCACCACGCACAACCGCTCTCAACCTCTGTCCGCCGAGAATTTCGTCGACTCCGTCACTAACCTCCTCCACCACCACCCGACTCCGTCACCTCCGGTCCCGCCTCCGTCAGCCAGTCTCAGGTCCGTCGGCCATGGCTTCTCCGTCATCACCATACCGCAGCATACACTCCGTCAACTACCAACATCCACGCGTGGCATCGCCGGCGGCTTCAACATCCATGCACCTAGCGGTCTTCAGTCACGTCCATGAATATCTCGACTTGAACGCCGCCAGCAGCGGTGTCGGCGGAGGCCGATACGTTGGAGCAGATAGCTTCGACGGCGGTGGAGCAGAGAGCTTCGACGGCGGCTGTGCGGCAGAGATGCTCCGGTGGCAATGACAGACCATGGGCGGCGGAGTCGGGTGCAGGTGTTCGGTAGCAGGAGATCCCTTTGATGGTGAAGGGGGTGTTTATGAGTTGGGCTTCCATTTGAGAATTAGACATATCCAAGGGTTTTTAATTGCAATTTTAATTTTTTTTTTTTAATATATATCAATTTGATACATGGGTAAATTCATAATTTATATAAATATGTTTTGGTGCAATTCGTCCAGCGTTAAGGTGCAATCAGATAGCTGTTAAGGTGCAACTCGTCTAATGTTATTGTGCAATTGAAATAAATAAATAAATAAGTAATAATAATAATAATAATAATAATAATAATAATAATAATAATAATTTACATATCATTCGATCAGTTCGGTTACTTATGTTATTTTTTAAAAGTGAAACCAAAAGCGAACTCCAATAATCGTGATTTGAAAGTATAAACAAATAATCGAACCGAAATGTGCAATCTGATAGTCATAAAAGTGCAATTCGTATAGAAATAATGTGCGTCCGCTTGCAGGCATTTTTAATAGTACGAACTACACTAAACTAAATTTGATTTATTTGGTCTATTTATTCGATCGATTAATCGAATTAATCTAATAATATAATAATATA